TGAACTATTATGACAAAATTTCATAAATTAAAACAAATAAAAATCAAAAAAATATTTTAACAACTTATAGAAAATAATTAATTTTTAAACTTTAAATAATCAATAGTGTTTACTATAATAAGAATAAAAACTATTATCATGAAATAGTAATGCGATAGTAATGTAGTATCAGTGCTTCTTGAGAAAGACATGCAATGACTCAAAAGTCTGGCAAAAGTCTGGCCAAAAAACACACACAAAAAAAGTATATTATAGCAATGTACTTTTTTTGTGCGTGTTTTTTGGCCAGACTTTTGCAGCCGGAATACATGATTGTAAGAACAAAGAATAGCTTCTCAAAAACAAACATGGTGAGCAATAGAAGCTGCTCCATTAAACAGCTTTTTGCAAGAGCTTTTTCATTTTTGCATGAAATTTCTGTTTATTCTTTAAAAAAATTGCTTATTAGAAACATGCATTTTGATTTTTATTAGAAAAATGATTTTTGATTTTTAGCATTTGCTTGCAAAATTTGCTTTTATACTTACACAAGCTAATGATTGTAAAGTGCTGCAAGTATTTATGCATAACAATGTTGTTTATCATGCTGTAAAAAGTTATGAAATATTCTGTTTTAAAAAAATACTTTAGATAAGCATTTTTTTGGGGGTTTTCACACTAGCTATTCATTTATTCAATAGAAAATTTTATAAACAAACAAAAAGCTATAAATATTTCTAATACTTGTAAAAAAAAAATTATATTTTTTAGGGTAATAGAATATAAGAAGTTTCACTACAATAATTAAAGATTTCACAATAAAAGTGTTTATATAATTATTTTTATTAAAATATTTAATAAAAATAATTATATAAACACTTTTATTGTGAAATAATAAAAGTGTTTATATAATTTGAATACTCGAAAATTTGAAATACTTGTTAAAAACTTTTTTTTTTAATTGAAAATTTTGAGTATTAGTATTATATACATGCGTAATTTATGTTATAAGCCACTAAATTTGTTTTAGTCATAGTTTGTTGTTATTTTAGAAAAAAATTAAAATAATAATTATGGAAAGAACTAATGAATTAACAACCGAAAAACGTGCTCAGATTGTTATTCTATGTGAACAAGGATTGACACTGACTTCTATTGCTTCATGTTTTAATGTAACCCATAGCTGTATCATAAAAACATTGAAGCGATATCATGACACTGGTAATTTTAAAAGTAAAGCTAGAGCTGGACGACCAAAGGTGACTACTCAAAGGGCAGATAATCGCATCCATCGTTATGCAAAAGCATATCCGTTTGCCAGTGCTTCTGAAATTTCATCTGAGGTATTCCCCACTGGTGTTGCACCAAGTGTTGTGACCATTAGAAGACGTTTGTGCAAACAATTTCATTTAACGAGCCATGTTCCAGCAAAAAAACCTTGCCTTTCTCCAAAAAATATTAGAGATCGTATTGCCTTCTGTCAGAAATACAAGGACTGGTCAGCGGAAGATTGGGAGGATGTAATATTTAGCGACGAATCATTAATCGAACAATTTGGTTGTCGTTCTACAAGCGTTAGACGCCCGCCTTGCCAACGATACAACCCCAAATATTTGCTTTCAACTGTAAAACATTGCCCTAAAATCATGATATGGGGTGCCATTACAGCCAATCAAAGTGATGGTTTATGGTTTATGCCTCCTAACACCACAATAAATGGCCATATTTATCTTGAAATACCTTAAGAAAAACTTAAAATATTCATGAACATCACAAATACCCACAAGTTTCAGCATGACGGAGCACCCTGTCACAGGGCCAAGCTTGTAAGCAGTTGGTTACTTGAGAATGGAGTTAAAGTCATTGGCCCCTTGCCTGGTAATTCACCGGACCTCAATCCCATTGAAAACTGCTGGAATCATCTTAAAAACGAAGTCCAGAAACTTAGACCATCATCTTCCGATGATCTACAAGAAAAAATTAGACAGGTATGGACTCAATTAATGACTCCTGAATATTTGAGAAAACTCGTTCACTCTATGCCTACCCGGCTAGCTAACTGTTTGAAAGCTCAAGGACACCATACCAAGTATTAAATTCAAGTATTAAACTCATAAAACATTTATTAGTATTTCAAAGTTATTATATTCGGAAATTTTCATGGTTACTAATATACTTTGATAAAATAACTGAATAATTTGATAAAAATAGTGTTTTTTATACAATGTTCCAAACTTTTGATCGCGACTGTATAATTTGGTTGTGGCATTAAAAAAGAATGTTTTATTTAACAAATGTAATTTATTTTATTATTACAATTATTTATTGTGTAATTGTAATTGTAATTGTAATTGTAATTGTAAATGTAATTTATTTTATTATTACATTATTATTATTTTACAAATGTAATTTAATAAATGTAATTTAAAATATTTAATATTTTAAATAATATATAAAAGACATATTGCTGACTAAGAAAAAGATTTATAACAGAATATTATCAATTTATTTTTTCATAATGGCATTTTTATAAGAAAATGATTTTTCAGAAACCAATCAGTTAGTCCAATCTAATTCAAAACATTTGCATTCCGATTGGAGCTCTATTTTAACTTTTATTTTTTTGCAATAACTGTGCCTTTAAAAAAGTATTTTTTCTGCCTATAAAAAAGCAAATTTTATTATTCAGTTATTAGATTATTTCAAAAATGACTGATTTGCGCTTATCATCTTAGATACAACGATAATGCTTTTCTTTTATAAACAACTTTGCAACCATATTGTCATTAATATTAGCGATATTACTCAGTATTTTACACCAAGGATATTAGGAAAAAAAATCTCTACACACTGCATAAAATTAGTTAAAAAAAATAAAAAGTTTTTTTTTTTTTATTAATTTTATTATAATTTTATATTATAATCATGTAAAATTTATCCACTTTTTTTAAAGGGACCCAAAACCTCTGAGACATGTTGTGTTCATATTAATGAGAATGGTAAAAAAAAAATGTTTGGGCTAAACTTTTTTTATTAATACAAAAGAATAAATGCATACCAAGAAAAACTAACCTTTTTATTTTCTACTAAGTCCAAAGGTATTTTCTACTAAATGGCAGTATTTTCTACTAAATGGCAAAGGCAAGCTTCTACTAAGTAGAAGCTTGCCTTTGCCATTTTGTTATAGGCCAAAAAGTCAGCATAAAATATGCCGCAACCTACAGACTGGATAATTTATTCAAGCCCCTTTAATTCCTAGGAGTTTCAGTACACATGTTAATGATTTTTTTGTTTGTGTAAAAGATCGATTATGTAAACAAACAAAAAAATCAATGACGCCGTGAACTGAAACTCTTAGGAATAAAAAGCGCTTAAATAAAATTTTAATAATGAAAATTTTTATCATTCTCTTTAATATGTATACAACATGTCTAGGAGGTGTGGGATCACTTTAAGGGATCTCCATAAATTTGTTTAGAAGAATTAAACACATTTTCATTAGACAAGTTTTGGTTTAGCCTGTAATTAATTGAAAATAGGATTTGTTTTAGAATTTAGAATATTAATATTAACTTAAATCAATGATTTAAGTTAATATTAATACATAATTCATCATTTGGTTTCAATAACTCATCATTTGGTTTTTAGAAAGACTTATATGAATTTTCAGAAAGGTTAAATTTGACATCAAAAAAATTCATTATTATGAGGATGCCCATAAAAGTAGATTTCAAAATTTTGAAGTAAAATTTGACCCTGAAGTAAAATTTGACCCTACAGTTGCACAAAATATATGGGAAGAAGTATAAAAGGTAACAATTATGCTTTGTTAAACAAACAAACAAAAAAACCTTAAACAAAAAATTAATAAAAAATTGTAATTGTAATAGTAATATATATTTCTGCATAAATAATATTTCACATAGTTTTATAAATACAAATTTATATAAACTAACTGTGCAGCCCACCAACAGTAGATGATACACTATAGCAGCCGGAGCTTAGTCTGTAAAGTGAAACCTTAAATTCATAGATTGATATTGATGTTTTAATGTCATTCAGTAGATTGTTCCACTCCTTAACAATTTTGTTTTTAAAAAATTTTATCAAGTTTTTTACTATCTCCCGCACATAATTTCCTCTAATATTTCCTGTTAAAGGTGAGTTCCTCTCTACTATTTCTAAATGATTTTCTAGCTTAAACTTTTGGATCAGATCTCATTGATTTCTTCTTATTTTCAGCGTTGTCAGAATAAGTCTATTTATTTGCTCTTTATACAAAAGAATTTTCATACAATGTGCAATTTTTGTAGCTCTTCACTGAACTTGTTCAATTTTAAAGATATCTCCTTCTAGATGTGGTCTCCATGGAGGCATAGCAAATTCTAGATGCGGGCGGATGTAAAATGGTATATAGCCTTTTCCTTATGTACTTGTTTCTTGATTGAAATGTATGAAAAACCCAAGTATACTATTTACTTTTGCTACTATATAATTTACATGGGTTTTTAGGTCTTCAAATATAATAACTCCTAAATCTTTGGATATAATAACTCCTAAAGATGGTTCTAGTTTCCATAATATCTGTAACTGGATGGTTCTAGTTTACTACCTTTTTCAAAGGTAAGGGCTAACATTCACTTTAATCCAAGCATTTAGAATATACCCACTATTATAAGAGAGATGAAAAATTAGTTGCATTAATAAAGAATATGATTCTGCACATATTTTAAGACATAAGGGCTGATTCCATCTCCACCAACCAATTTGAAAGGCTCAAGTTTGGAAAAATGGGATTGCACTTTATCAATTATGAATTTTTTTTTTCCTTTGGTTTAATTGCCAATTGAGATACAAAGAAGGGCAAGCGCTCAGATTCATCTTCTTATATAAAAACTGATTGGAATTGTATGTTCAGTGTGTTAGCGTTATCTTTACCCATTGTTGAAATAGTACCATTTTGATTGTATAATAAATAAATTTTGTTAGATTTAATTGATTGCCTTTCGCTCATATATGAATACAGGCATTTAGGATTATTGTATTGCTTGCCAAATCCATTTCATATTTCTGAACACATTTTTTTATTTTATTTTTAACTGAGTTAAAAAAATTTAGAGGTCCATTTTAAAGCGTTATTGCGAAGCCATAACTGGTTTTTTGTTTGTTGTTTTTTTTTGTAATAATTTGTTTTACTTTGTAATTAGTCCAGCAATTAGCCCTGGTGTACGTACAGTTTAGTGTTATTTGAGTCTGTTTTGATGAAATTTGAACTTTGATAGAATGTTTACTTGTGGGAGTTTCTGAGGATATTATGGTTTCTTTATTTTGTTAGTAGTGATTTTCATTATTTCGGACAGAAAATTGATAGAATTGATCCTGGGATTGTTGTTGGTATGGTTGATGTTGTTTTTGATAATATTGCAAGCAGTATTGTTATTGGTATGATTGGTATTGTTGTTGGTAAAACTGTGATCATCTTTTATTGAGTTTTTTGATAATGTTGTTGTTTACCTTCTTGCTGATCGAATTGTTCTTTCCCTCCAACCCAGTTGAAGCAACCTGTATGTTGTTGATAATATCTGTTTTTATTAAAGCTTGATGTATTTGAGAAGATTGTACTTGGTGGTCATGAAACTCTTTAATTGTTGTTGACTGCCTTGTAAACTTCGTAATTTCACATGCTGCAATTGCTTCTTTCCAGCTTACAAATGGGTGTTTGAACCTTTGTTTTGGGTTTTAGTGACATCAACGCAACACACCCTATCACTGTGGATGACAAAACAAAATGAATTGTTTAATTTATTATTGTTTAAAACTTCATTGTACTCATTCCTTTGTTTAAGGAGACGATTAAACTCTGATTGTTTGGCTGGTGTTTGGTCTGGACGTATAAACACATCTTTGAATCTAGTATTTATTAGGTTTTTAGCAAGTGATAAAACTTGGTTCCTGTTTTTCTCGTCTACTAAGAGTGGAGCGCAGTTAGGTGTTTTCTGGCTGGTTTTTATATCCATTTGATGTAATATTTTTTCTTTTTATTCTTGAATGCCATTTGAGATTTATATTTGTATTAATGGCTTGTAAAGCTTTTTGTAATTTAATTCTACTTCATTTGATAATGAACTCATTGATTCTATCACCCCAAAAAATACAATTTTATTTGTTTGGCTTTTTATAACTTTTCATTAGCTTTTACTGCAGTTATCAATGCTGCGTTCTCAAGTACCCAATACCTGCTTTAACTATCTTAGTAAAGAAACTACTATTGTTTGAATTGTTACCGTTGTATCTAGAATTTTCAATGCGCTTTGTAAGAGAATCAACTTTCTTATCTTTATCTTTTATAATTGCTTTTTTAAATAACTAACTAGTTATTTCACATTTTAATTCAAACTACCATTTGAATTCTGCTCTTTTCTGGATCAACTGATCCGATATGTCAACGATCAAGTGTCCGAATAAATTTTTTAAAATATGAACTGTTACGATTTTATGAAACTGAGTTATGCAATCAAAATCTTTGCCATGTTATTCAATTTTTATTTAACACTTGTATAGTGAAGTTGTAGTTTTTTTCTTTACTATTTAGAATAACTCATCGTAGATTTTTTTTTTATAATAAAAAGCTTTAATTTAATATTGTTTGTTTTTTTAGATAGACTTAAATCTTTATGCTGTAACTGACAATGCTTTTTATTGTTTTTCTTTACAATTTGACAATTTTATATGCAAATAAAAAAACCGTTACGCTACGAATAACTTTTAATTGTTGATCATATTTAAAGTTTTTATTTTGCGCAAATAAAATTAAATCATAAATAAACTATAATGATCGTTTAAAAATAAACACAAAATTAAATGTTATATTTAAATTTTTTTATTAGGTATGTATTTTTTATAATAAATTTAAAAGTTTAAAACTATTTCTCCCTGTCATTCTAAAAATCTTCTAAAATATTATTTTTAAATACTTTAAACAGAGTCAATTAAAGTAGTACCTATAGTTATATATATAGAAGGTATAATTTCTATTGACTATGCTTTAAACTATGAATAAGTTAAATTAAATCTTCCCATGAATTAATTGCTTTATTTATTTTTCTATTTTTACAAAGAAAAAATTAATCAAAAAAATCATAAATCTTTATCTAAATCAGATCTAAAAGGAATTGTTCACTGGTTAAATGCTAACTCTAAAAGGAATTGTTCACTGGTTAAATGCTAACTCTAAAAGGAATTGTTCACTGGTTAAATGCTAACTCTAAAAGGAATTGTTCACTGGTTAAATGCTAACTCTAAAAGGAATTGTTCACTGGTTAAATGCTAACTCTAAAAGGAATTGTTCACTGGTTAAATGCTAACTCTAAAAGGAATTGTTCACTGGTTAAATGCTAACTCTAAAAGGAATTGTTCACTGGTTAAATGCTAACTCTAAAAGGAATTGTTCACTGGTTAAATGCTAACTCTAAAAGGAATTGTTCACTGGTTAAATGCTAACTCTAAAAGGAATTGTTCACTGGTTAAATGCTAACTCTAAAAGGAATTGTTCACTGGTTAAATGCTAACTTAATATGTCTTAATGCAAAAAAACTGAACTGATCTTTTTTTTATCTTCTACAAAAAAACACAATCTAAACACAATCTAAACAAAAGTTCTAAAATCCAAATCCAAATTAATAATAAACAGTTATATCCTACAAAAGTTATCAAGTATCTCGATGTTTTGATTGACTGTAATCTCTCATGGAATTTTCATATTGATAAGCTAAGTAAAAAACTAAATCAAGCTAACAGCGCACTTTCAATAATTAGTCATTATGTTGATAAATTCACACTAAAGAATATTTACTGTGCACTATTTTTATTGCATCTTAGTTACTGTTGCAAAATTTGGGGTCAAAGTGGCAACTATCACACCAAAAAATTGATGTTCTCTTAACATCAACCCATAATAATCATAACTTCCAACCTTTTGAGTTAGAAACTTTGAATACTTTTTATTTTTAAAAGATTGCTTATGATTGGCAAAACGTTTTTTATTTAACAAAGCATTATTATTTGTTAAATGAAAAAGAAATCCTAAATGAAAAACTACAGATTGTAATTGTAATTGTAAACAAAAAAGCAATTGTCCAATGAGTGGAAGTTGTTTATCAAAAAATGTGGTATATAATTGTGTTGTTTCCTCTAAGAATGTACCCGATAAACAATATATTGGCATAACAGAGGGTGAATGGAAAAAACGTTTTGCCAATCATAAGCAATATTTTAAAAATAAAAAGTATTCAAAAGACACCATGCTGTCAAAGTATATATGGGAACTAAAAGATAAAAATATTGATGATTTTATACTGAATTGGTCCATCCTTAAAACAGCGCCTGCATACAACAATATTTCCAAAAAATGCATACTATGTCTACAAGAAAAATTTCAAATAATTACACATGCAAACCAAGAATGTTTGTTAAACAAAAAATCAGAATTGATTTCTAAATGCAGGCACAAAAATAAGTTTCTCCTAAAAAACTATAAAAGTGAGCTTAAATAATAGTTACATTAAATCCCCTCTTTTTTAAAAATATTTTTATAAAAAAAAAAAAAAGCATAAGTAATCATTTCTAAAGAATATATATATATATTAATATATATATATATATATATATATATATATATATATATATATATATATATATATATATATATATATATATATATATATATATATATATATATATATATATATATATATTATTCAAATATTTTTACTTACTAAAATCAATAGAACTATGATTATTTTTTTTCAAATTATTATTATCATATTTATTATTACTGTATGTATTATTTTATATATACAAATATATATATATATATATATATATATATATATATATATATATATATATATATATATATATATATATTATTTTTATTTACTAAAATCAATAGAATTATGATTTTTTTTTTTTTTTTCAAATTATTATTATTATTATATTTATTATTATTGTATGATTTATAAAGGAGAATAAATATCTTCTTGTTGTTGTTGTTGTTGATTCGTGTATGTATCAGGTTTTTTAAAAGTCAAATCATGTTGTGTCTTCAATGATTCCAAATTAAATAAAAATTTCAAAAATAATCATTAATTTATAAAAAATATTTAAAGATTTGACCCAATATGACAAACTTTTCAAAATATTTAATATTTAATATTTAATATTTAATACCCATTTAATGTGCATTGAGCTACCCTTACAAATATTTCTTATTCAAATATTTTTAAATCCAGTGTTATTTTTAATTATATAGAACACTTTTTGGGTTGAGAGAAGATCTTTTTCAAATATGTTGTTTCATGATATACCTCTTGCTCATGTTCATAAGGTATAGAAATGTATGACAAATGTATACAATGCCATATATTACTAATAGTATTAATAAACAAAACCTTTGCAATAATAAAGCTGTAGTATCAGGATATTGATTAGCAATTGAAGAAGTAATTTCAGCTCCATTTTCAAATAAGATTTCTGCAATCTTCAGATCATTATTTTTACAAGCCACAGCAAGAGGTACATACATGCTTGAATAAAAACTTTTTGTTGACAGTAGTTGTTCATTTGCATTAACACCTTGTGCTAACAAAAACTTAACAATATCAAAATGCTTCAATAGGCATGCAATATAAAGTAGAAGACTACCTAAAATTTAAAAAAAGGCTTTCTAGAACCACAAAACAATAAAATTGTACAATTTGAAAAAAATCTAAATACCTGATTTAATCTTCTTTTCTGTTTTCGCAACACTTGATAATCCTACCCAAATGTCAGCATAGCTTATATCAGGGCTTTGTCCTAATCCACCTTCAAAAACCTTTTCTAATATATCATGATTTGAGTTCACTATATACTCAACTACACATGTTTGACCAAAAAATGTTGCAACATAAATACATGAGTCTTTTGTTACTGTATTTGATGGATGAAGAGAAATTCCAAATGATACCATTTCCTTAAGACACTAAAGAATATATGTATGTAACATTAATAAAATATATATACTTTATCAATATAAACAACAGCAACTGTAAAATAATCAAAAGTTAAATTCTCTTAAAGGATTGTCCATAAATTATGCATCGCTAAATTTATTTGAAAATTAGTAGTAGGAGTTCTTAAGTTCTTTTAATGATTTTCATTAAACTTAATACGCTATTTTTATTTTTAATGTTGTTTATCAAAAAATGTGGTATATAAATGTGTTGTTTCCTCTAAGAATGTACCCGATAAACAATATATTGGCATAACAGAGGGTGAATGGAAAAACATTAAATATAGAACCCTATCATTCTAACATAACAAAATGTAAAACATAACGTTTTATTATTGACTAAAGTCACATGACATAACGATCACTTCAACCCAGTAGTGCATGTTCTGGATAATACACTAATTTTGCGAATTAATAAATAACTTACTTTATAATAAATTATTGAAATAACAATTTTTTAAACTAAAAATGTTTGAATAAAATTATTTTATAAGTTCTTATCTCATAAGTTTGATCACTTTATAAAATATATTTTTTTATTAGTAAAAAAAAAAAATTTCACAAAAAAACAACTAATTACATAATATAATTTAAAACGTTATTATAAACAAATAAACCATAATAAACCATAATTTTCAAAAAAATAAATTAATTGTTAAAAATCAATACAATAAAATTTTTGTCTTTTTATTATTATTAATAAAAAGGTAAAATCTTTATTATTTATTTTTTCCTCTTTTGTTACTTAAAAAGGCATTATTAAGCAATGAAAGCTTGAATATAATTTACCAAGCCATTGATGAAGATAGATACCACGCAAAGTCAACATTGTTTAAAAACCTAATTTAAAGCGACATACAATTTTTATTTTTTTAATTTTTAATACATATTTAAGATAAAAAATATAAAAATTAAATGTGTAGTATCTTATATCATTAATTTATACATGTTTGACCTCTAAAATCCTAAAACTTAATAAAATTATTGCCTTTAACTTGCAATATACACGCAATTATTGCTAGTTTTTTCATTGTCATTCATATACGGATCTAAACTTAATGCTTATTTTCCTTTAAAAATGTATAATAAATAAAACTAACCTACATAGATTAAAAACATGGTAACTAGATCTCATGATTGCTATTGTTTTAAAATATGCAAAATGCGATAAAGAGTTAATATTTCAACATAAAATATTAAAGGTGACGCAGTTTTGCCTTTAAATATATGTAGACTTTATCGCACAATTTTTTATATTAAGTGTCAACTTAACTGGCATGAATATATATATATATATAAGTTTTTTTGAAAAAACAACAATATATATATATTTTTGAAAACAAAATTAATTTGTTGACAAATTTTTGAAAACAACAATATATATATATATATATATATATATATATATATATATATATATATATATATATATATATATATATATATATATATATATATATATATATATATATATATATATATATATATATATATGTAAATATATATATATATTGTTGTTTTCAAAAATTTGTCAACAACCTAATGTTTAAACCCTTCTGCACTGAAAGAAATACGCATGCAAAATTCTTATCATAACATTGTAAAAATTGCCTATGAAATGGGGTGCCATCCAACAATGCCTCACACAAATTTTTCAGTTTTGGTATGTCTTAAATTAAATGCTATTTGCGCTGAAATACTTTGTTTGAAGTTTTATTTGTTTTATGTTACTTGTAATTCATTACATAATGATTTCTTTTTTTATATATATGGAAGTTGTTCCCTCAATGTTACTATTCTTTTAACATTCTCTCAAAGTTGCGATAGTGAAGTCTGATTGGTTGATTTAAAATATAATACATAAATTTATATAAAATAACAATATTTTTGAAAACAAATTTTTAAAAAAATTAAAGATAGGATATCATTGCGCAAGCAAAAGCATTTTTATATATTAGAATGTATTTGAATTTACTATTTTAGGTGAGGTGTGCAAAAATAAATGGTACAATCCTTATTGAACACAACGAGAATGGGTACACATACTGAGAAATAATTAAATGTTGTGCTGACTCTGTGCTGGAAAAATGTTTTGAAAACCTCAAACGATACAATTTTTTTTTTATTCTTAGTGATGAAAGTCAAACAAGAAAAACTGGCAAAGAAAAGGAACTAGTTTTAATTCGAACAGATAACAATGGCGTACCGATTTACATGGTCACAGGGTTGTTAAATATGTCACTTGGTGATAGCAACTGTAATTCCGTGACCACTGGTATAAACAGTATTTTCAATTAAGAACTGAAGATTTGACCAACAAAGTTGTATGTGCAACAGCAGATACTTTACATTTATACTTGCACCACCAAGTGTAAACTTTGGTATACATAAAGGTGTGCTTTCCCAGTTGCAGCAAATTTGTCCATGGTTGATTAAAATTTATTGCATTAATCATAGGATTGAATTGGCCCTAAAAGATGCATTTAAAGAAATTCTTGATTTTATAAAGATTAATGACTTTTATATTGCTAATTAATATCTATTTATTGAAATTTAGGTAAATTAAAAGCAGATGTTGAAGGAGCGTCAAAATGCCTCGGTTTAACGCATTATAACTTACCTAACGCATAATAACTAAAAATTACCGGAACAAGGTTTGTTGGACACAGGAGGAGAGAAGTTTTGAATCTGTTAGAAACATGGCCAGCTTTTATTATAGCAGACAAAGTTTTTTTTACAAAGTTGGTTTGTATCTAGACAGCTTAAAAAAAAATTATTCCTGCGTTTAAAATATTTGAAACTAATGAGTTATTGGCTCATGAAATTCCAAAAACTATAACTCGAACTCTATTAGAGATAGAAAACAGAATTAAATGTATTGGGCAAGATTACGAATTTATTGACAGCTTCATAAATTGCTACTTTGTCACCAATAAAATTGACATGGAAGGTTTATTTGCTAAGACTGGTGATAAACCAAAGCACAAAAAAATTGTACATATGTCAGCGTAAGAAATGAATAATTTTTATCATGAAGAATCAATTGACGAAATTTATCGAATTAAAAAAAACATTTTATCAAAACAATATTCAATATTATCATGCATATTGATGGTGTTCCATCATGTGAGGTCAAAATTCGCGGCCGCCATACTGTATGGCAAATAAAGTAAACAAAGTGAGCGTTTATTAGTATACCGTATTTAATTACAATTATTTAGATAACATATCTTGTAGTAGATAGATTTTTAAAGGTTAATTTTGAGTAAATTTATGTAGAATCTAATTCTCTATCTTATGGTATAATTTATTTTTGCCTAAAATAAAACTCTATTAAACTTATTTTTAACTCTATTAACTTGTTTTCAAAAGTGTATTATAAGTAATGTGCAAATAAGTAAACTGTACATAAAGTATTCCAAAGCATTCAAAAATAGACTATATTATTTGTGTTTTACATTTTAAAAATCTTCTGTTAAGTATTATAACACGTAAAATTCTTTTTATATATATATATATATATATATATATATATATATATATATATATATATATATATATATATATATATATATATATATATATATATATATATATATATATATATATATATATATATATATATATTTTTGTCAATTGCTAACTAGCATAACTCAGAAACAGTGAACACATTTTGGTTGTTTAAACATGTTAATAAGTTATTAAATTGTATTAATATTTTAAAATGCTATGTATATAAATAATACGCTAAATTACTTATTAAATTGCTTTAGTATCTTAAAAGTATATAATAATAATTAATAACAACAATAATTGGCATCAAGCGAAACCACAAAAATGACAAAAATATTTTATATTAATTTAAAGTAAATAAAGTAACGCTATCAACAAAATGGTAGTCCACAATCTATTAGACAACTTTTTTGTAGACTTTTTAACTTCAATATTGACATCCCTTAACTCACAGGTTTTTGCCATTTTTAGATATTCTCGTGCGCAAAATAGAGCTGAAAAAAAAAAAAAGTATGCTGCCGCAGAGGATCTGCTACATTTTGCCAAGGGAGCTGCCAGTGAAACAACTAGCGACATTTTAATCAGCGATCCAATTGCAAAGCCTAAAATATGCACTTTTTTGTTTAAAGGTCCTGTTAATAAAAAGCATAGTAATGAAATCGAATTCCTTACGATTGATGATAGTCTCTCAGCGCAAAATAATGAAAGCGAATTCCTGACGAAAGATTACAGACAAGTTCTAAGTGAGAATAGTAAGTTGAAGGAAAAGCTCTTGTCGTTTCAAATAACGATTGAGTCTTTTACCGATGATGAGAAAGTTCTTTATTACACAGGCTTGCCCTGTAGCAAAGTGTTTTTGGCTGTGTTTCAACATGTCGAAGCATATATTTCATTAACAGCGCGTTCGAGACTATCTAAGTTTCAAAAAGTGATTCTTGTGCTAATGAAGCTGCGTCTTGGAACCCCATTACAAGACTTAGCATTTCGATTTGACATTTCCTATTCCGTTGTGTCAAAAACTTTTAAGAAAATTTTGCACATATTATATGTTTGTATGAAACCTCTAATTTTCTGGCCAGAAAGAAAAGAGTTACAACAAATCATGCTATTATCGTTTAGACAACACTTTGGACTTAAGATAGCTGTCATCATAGACTGTTTTGAAATTTGTATTGAAAAACCCTCAAATCTTATGGCCAGAGCACAGACATGGAGCAACTATAAAAGTCATAACACTGTTAAATATTTAATTGGCATTGTTACACAAGGCGTTATTTCTTACATTTCCCAGGGATGGGGTGGAAGAGCTAGGGATAAACATATTACAGAACAATGTGGGGTCCTAGAGAAACTCAACCGTGGGGATGTAGTGCTTGCTGACTGAGGTTTTAACATAGCCGATTCTGTTGGTCTTATGTGTGCTGAGGTTAAAATTTCAGCCTTTACAAAAGGAAAAA